ATGCACCACCATTAAGTGTATTGTAAGGAGCAACATTTCCGCCAAATTTTGCTAACTCAGTGCTAAGTTTTAATACCGAAAGATGGTAGTTCTGAAAATCTGTAGTTCCATTTGTTACTACAAAATTGTTTCTATTTACATCTAAATAATTTGTAGTGTTTGCAAAATGCGCTAGGCTATTGTCAAAACCATAAGCAAAGTTGTCTACATAAAATGCTAATAACAGCATGACTACCATTGAAGATTTAGAAATTAATTTTCTCATTTTGTGTTTGTTTTAAGTGTTAAAAAATAATGTTTAATATTTTTAATATTTGTAATTATAATATATTGTTGCTGTATCGTTTAGAATGATGTTTCTATTGGTTATAGAATTTTCATTGTCTGTTGTATAATAATATTTGTATAAATCTTGTCTTGCTCCAGTTGAGATTTTTATTATTTCTAATTCTGTTAGCCAATTTTTATTGCCTTTTCCTAAATTAAGTCCCATTAATGAAATAATGTTCACACCACCTGCATACCAAAACCTAATTCCTGCTACATTGAATTTTAGGTCTAAATCATTTGAAATTATTTTACTATAATCATATTTATTTTTTATTAAATAGGATTCATTCAAAGATCCTTGATAAACAGAATATTGCAGTATATTGTCATGAGAGTCATATAGAAAATTAGAAAATATATTTGTAGATTCAAACATTGCTTTAAGTTCTATAAGTAGATAAATCTGTCAATGAAGTACTCAAAATGGAGTTTGGAAGATGCAGACTTTCCATTGCAGTACCACGTGGTTTTAATTATCAATCTGTCCAAGATTTACAAGGAAAATCTATAGCAACATCTTATCCAAAAATATTACAACAATATTTAGATAAACACAACATTCAAGCAGATATCCACGTTATCTCTGGCTCAGTGGAAATTGCAACAGGCATTGGGCTTGCAGATGCCATTTGTGATATCGTATCAACAGGTTCTACTTTATTAAGTAATGGATTAAAAGAAGTAGAACAAATTTTCCATTCTGAAGCAATACTTATTGCAAATAAAAACCTTAGTCAAGATAAAAAATTGATACTCGATGATTTATTGTTCAGACTAAATGCAGTAAAGAAGGCAAAGAAAAATAAATATATATTACTTAATGTACCCAACGCAAATATTGATAATGTAGTAAAAATATTACCAGGTATAAAAAGCCCAACCATACTTCCATTAGCACAAGTTGGCTGGAGTTCTCTACACTCTGTCATACCCGAAAAAGATTTTTGGCAAATTATACAACAACTTAAAGATGCAGGTGCAGAAGGAATATTAGTAATGCCAATAGAACAAATAATTGATTAAAATAGATTTATGCAAATTATAAAATTACCAGAAAAAGGATTAGAATGGTCTAGTATTTTAGAAAGACCATCACAAAGCCTTTCAGATATCGTACCTATTGTGCAGCCCATCATCAACGATGTGTACAATAATGGTGATGATGCATTAAAACACTTTTCAATTCAATTTGATAAAATAGAATTACAAGAATTCAAAGTATCAGATGCTGAAATTATCGCAGCTTCAGCAAATATTGATTCTAACCTTAAAGAAGCAATAGAAGTTGCATACAATAATATTTATACATTTCATTCTCATCAAAAATCTGACATTCAACAAATACAAACAACAAAAGGTGTATTTTGTTGGAGAAAAAGTATAGGTATAGAAAATGTAGGTATATATATTCCAGGCGGAAGTGCACCGCTTTTTTCTACCGTACTCATGCTTGCCATTCCAGCACAAAT